GGAAAGACAAGGAAAGCATTCTGAGGAGATACAGCCATCACCGAAGTGAGATCTGTGTTGACCACCCTTCATGATGCCATACATGGACAGAAACAACTTTGACTGATTGGCCAAAGTAAAAGCACTCTTACTCTGGGACTTACCGCCCAGCAGATCCTCTATTGAGCTAACTACAGGAAAGGTCCTCACCGGCCTTTTCGCACATCCATACGCCGCTTCGAGGTGCGAGCTTAGCTTCATGATGCGAGCTCAGCTTTAAGAGTGAAGGAAAATGGGTTGTGGCAGCAGCACTGAATCATCCGATGGTCATCACCAGAGGCAGGCGTCACTGCTGGGTGGCGAGAAAGAGGAAAAGGGCGTCGGTTCTCGCGAGAAGCACCAGCTGATATCGCCCTCCCTGGCCTACTGCCTGCTCCAGGACGTGCCCACCCACTCGGTCATCTTTTTCGACGCGCGCGACAGGTGACACATGAGTCAGCGGGAGACGGCCGGCTCTGCATGCACTTATGTGAGTCTTTCTGGGGCCCACCTGGTGGTGTGCGCTGATTTTAGCGACGCGTATGAGCGGCATCACATCCGGGAGGCCGTCCACCCGTGGGCGCACAAGGGCGCTGATGAGGCGAAATTCAGAGAATGGCTGAGGAACGTCACCCGACTGAGAACGGTATGTATGTCGGTGTCCATCCGTCGGCATAAGACAACTCTGGCTGGCTGAGCTGTGTGCGTTGCGTGTGCAGGTGGTGATCTATTCTGATGCGTCAGACACCGCCAGTCAGGGCAGCGGCAGCAGCAGTGGTGTAGGCGGGCTGCTGGACTGGCTGTCCTCATCGCAAGCGCGGCCGAAAGAAGTCCTCATCGTCAAAGGTAAAATGTGTAGGTAGGTGCAATGCACCGACACGTGTGTGCAGAATGCCGACAGATAGACAGACAGAAAGACGGACACACGCACACACACACACACACACACGCTGTGTGTGTCTGTTGCCTTGTCTGTCCTTTTGCTGCCCCTCCCTCTGTGTAGGTGGCCTGCAAGCCTTCAGCCGTCGGTTTGGCTTCTGCGTGGTCCGCGGCAGCAAGGGGCGGGGAAGGCGGAAACAGCCGTCGGTGCCGCTGCCAACGCCGTCAGAGATCATCGCACCCAAGAGGGTGACCAGACACACGATGAAAGACAGACAGACAGATGGTGGCTGGGTGGGTGCCCGATGGATGGATGGGTGGGTGGATGGATGTATGGATGGATGTCTCTGTGTGTGGGGACAGAGTGGTCGTGGGTTTGCCTTGTATGTGTGTGGCGAGGGTGTGTTGAAGAACAGCCCGCAGTCGGTCCGGCTGCTGCGGGTCAGGACGGTCGTCAACCTCACGCAACGGCCATGCCCACTCGACAGAAAGTGAGTGTGGTGGGTGTACGGCCTCACCGACCCGACCACCTAGATGAATGAATGAATGAATGTGTGTGTTTTGTCGGTGTGGGTGTAGGCCTCGTGTGGTCCATTTATCGTGTTATGACAAGGCTGAGCTGCCCTACGATGAGGTGGGTGAGTGAGTAGGTGGCTGCGGTGCACGCACACATCGCAGGAGAGCCCGTGGGGGCCCACGGGGCCATGTGTGTTGGTTGTGTCAATCCAATCACCCACCAGGCGGCCCGTGTGGTTCGTTCGTCACAGCAGAGGAACCGTGCCGTGCTCGTGTACGACCACTCAGGAGATGTCCACAGCGCCGCTGGTGCACACACACACACACACACACACAAAACCGCAAACACACGGGCACACTCAACGCCTGTCTGTCTGTCTGTCTGTGTCATGTGCCGCGCAGTGGTAGTGTGGTTCATGGTAGAGCAGGGCACGTCGGTGTCCGCGGCCATGGCACACGTCAAGCGCAAGCGCGGCTCGGTGCAGTTCGACAGTTACGTCACCTCCACACTGACACGACTGGAGGAGGCCGTCAAGCAAGGTGGCCATGGCCTGGCCACGCGGCCCAAGATGGTGGCCCCGCAGCTGCAGAGAGACGCACAGGCGCAACTCACCCAAGGTAAGTAATGAATGGATGCTGCACTGCACGGCATTGTGCGGTTTCCTGTTCGTCAATGCGCCTCTGTGCTGTGTTGTGTTGTGCTGTTCTCTGTGCAGGCACGGTCACCCCTGCCCCCGAAACAGCGCAACCTCCGCCCGGCTCGTCCCTGCAGCTGCCACCACCACCACCACCACCATCACACACACAGGACTCCACTCCAAGAGCAGCAACACAGGCCGTCACAAGTACGCACGACGTCAATCGATGTCAGTGGGCAAATGGCTTCGCGCCCCCACAGGCATGATGGGTGGTGTGTGTTGTGTGTGCAGGGCCGAATGGTACGCCTCCGCTGAACCATCAGTCGTCGCTGGGCACCGACATGTCCAGCGGGGCAGCGGGGCTCTACTCAAAGGTCACACACACACACACACACAGAAGGAGAGAGAGAGAGAGTGGGCACATTGCCTGAAGTTTGTTTCGGTGTGTACAGGTGGATGACATGATATTGCGTCTCAAGAGCTCCCTGCCGCCAGACGAATACCAAGAGTGTATCAGGTATATCAGCCCCACACCCAGCCCAATCCAACCCCTACCCTCTCCCATCACCTCTCTCTCCCTGCCCTTGTTTCTTTCACTTCACCATTTACCAACCTCCTGCAGGACGGTGTCTCGTCTGTTCACCAACGTCTTGGCCCACGCCACCGACGACAAGTACCGGAGCGTCAGGATGGCCAACGAGCGGTTCATGGCAGCCGTGGGGCGGCACCCGACAGCCATCGAGCTGCTCGTCCTGGGCGGCTTCGTGCGCAACGCTGCAGCCGAGACATACCAGCTGCCGCAGGCAGCACTGCTGCAGAAACTGAGGGTCAGAGAGTGGGCGGGAAGGAAACGTGTCAAAGGTGGCAATGTGTGTCTGTGGTTTTGCTGTGCTGTGGTGTGCTGCTGGTGTGCAGGACATCAACTCGCGCTTGCTGCTGCACACACAAGGGTGAACAGACAAGGCGGGCGGGCGGGTGGGTCGTGGGTGTCAGGGTGTGAGGGGAGGAAGGTACATATTTGTGGAGGTCTCTGCCCGCGAGCACGATTTCAGCATCTCACATCATGTGGGTGCACTGCATGTGTACATCAGTGTCCCTCTCTGTCCATCCATCCATCCATCCATGCCGCTTCCCAACTCGCCAGAGAGACAAACAGCCGGACAGCCAGGCAGACAGACAGCCACACATGTGTGCATGTATGTCATCATATAAGTGGACGGATTGATCTCTGACTGACGAGCGGATAAAGGCAGGCAGGCAGGCCAATCGGGAGAAAAGGAACCAACACACAGAGGAGGAGGAAGAACCCGGGCATGCAATGCACGTCAGGAGGACGCAGGTGCGCATGTACGCAGCTAATTAGGACAAACACAGCTTGCTGACACCGTCGTCCCTACCCCCACCATGCGAGCTTTCGGTCTCTGTGTAATAGTAGAAAGTGGAGTTACCTCCCACTTTTGTGCTGCTGACTTTATTACGAAGGTACGTATAAAGTCACTCAGCCACCGCGCCCTCATCCAATGCACAGGCGCAGACAGACGGGCAGACAGGCAGCCAGACAGCCAGACAGACAGGCAGACAGGCAGACAGGCAGGCAGGCGGGCGCGGGAGGGCGGGAGTAGAGCACCCATCGATCGCCGCGCCTTCTCGATAGACAGATAGATACATGCAGCCGGTAAGTAAGTAAACAAGACAGAAAAATGCTCTTAGGGAGGCAGGCAGGAAACCGGAATGTGCGTCTCTCTGTCGGCTCAGCTCAGCTCAGCTCAGCCCAGCAACACAACACAGCAGCAGCAGCAGCAGCAGGAGCGATTGTGTGGTGCTATCTGTCTATGCAGTGAGGGAGTGAGTGCGTTGGTACGCATCTTGCCAACGTGGGGCTGGGCGGGCGGACTGGCGGGATCAATCAGTTCACCGATGGCTATACAGACAGACAGACCCGCAGTGGAGCCACGTATGTGCCTACATGGGGGGCCTCTCTTCCTACTTCCTTACGCACCGGCCGGATACCCACCCGTGCATTCATCCATTGACTCAATAAAACACATACACACATACACACATACAGACACCCACACATACATCCAACTCACAGACTCACAGACACACAGCACTCATGTGATGTACCTACCCTCCGGACGGACAGCTACTCATCGTTCGCACTCTTGTCAGTCAGTCATGTTGGGTTATAAAACGACAACAAATGTCTCCCTCCTCTGCCAATTTCCCCCTACCTAACACCCCCTCACGTACAAATGCCTCCACCCACTCGTCCGTCCGTCCGTCCATCCATCAGGGAGAGACGGGAAGGGGAGGGCCGTCCTTCATGGCGAAATACACACACACACACACACTCCCACAGAGACAGATAGATAGATAAGGTACACACGTTCATGCAGGCAGGCAGGCAAGGCGGGCGGCGAGAGGCCGCACGCACAAACGGACGCACGCACGTCAATTCCATCCACCCCAGCCACCCACAGAGCCCATCCAATCCATCCATCCATCCAGCCAGCCAGCCAAAACCAGCCAACATATTGTGTGCTAGTTAAATATACCATGGTACCCCCCCCACCCACCACACAGCCCTATGTATCCATCAAGACAGCCCTCCCGCCTCTCTGCTCGAACCTCTCTCCGCGCGTGCACACTCATTCCTGCCTACTGGTACTCACTGATGGACTCATGGACGGATGGAGAAAAGGATTTCAACGAAAACCTCCCGCTCGCCTCGCCAGTGAGTGAGTGAGCCAGCGACAGACAGAATTAACACCGCGGAATCAATCCATCAATAAGTCAGTCAGTCGATGGGATGGATGTATGGATAAAGGATTGTCTATGCAGTTAGTTAATGCGATCAATGACCGACTGGATAGATGCGATATCTCACACACATGCAAAATGCAAAATGGACCTCACCTCCCACGTGCTGTGCTGTGCTGTGCCTGGCTGGCTGACTGGCTGGCTGGCTGCATGGGTGGGAGAAAAAACGCAATCAGATAATCGTTGACTGACTTGACTGACCCGCCTATAGGCTCGATCGCTCATCGAATTACCCCGGCCTCACTCCACCCACCCCACCGCACAGCACAGCCACCGATGACAAAAGACCTGCCCTGCCTGCCTGCCAGAAACCATCCACACCGCACCCCTGGCCGTTCAACGTTCCCAGCCATGATCTCCCCTTTATAAGATAGACAGACAGACAACCATCATCATGACTGAATAAAAAGAACGCCACGCCATGACTGAATAAAAAGAACGCCTCGCCCCGCCCTGCCCCTCTCCCGCCCGCCCATCGTACCGCCCTTACAACACACCATCACACCAGCACCAGCCAGCAGCAGCCTGCCTGTCCTCCTCAGCGTCTCAAGAGCAGCGCAGCAGCCGCCCACCCGCCCACCCAACAGCCGCAGCCACAGCCACATCCATTGTCGCACATTCGACCTCAGCTTTGGACGGCGACCACACACCAGCAGCATGTAAGGATGCATCGACCGACTAAACGCCCCGCACGCACCAGCCAGCCAGCCAGCGACACAGCCACAGACACGCAGACCGGCAGAGAAGCAGCCATCCATCCATCCATCTATCCGTTTCATCCATCCACTGATTCGGTCGAGCGGCGGTGCTAGCAGTCATCGTCAGCTGAGGCTGAGGAGCCCTCGAGAGATCTCGCCCTCGTCCGTCGGCACGGGCCCCCTCGCTGTTGGCCAGCTGCCCCTCTGCTGCCCCGCAAGGAGCCGCTCCGCCTGTCCCTGAGATGGTAGGCGAGCTTGAGGTGCTCTGCGTTGGAGATGAGGTGGATGACGCCGTTTGACGCGATGATGTTGACGGTGTGGTCCTCTGCGGCGGTGTAGGACCTGCCGAGGGCCACGCGTCTGGGCATGACCATCTGGAAGTAGCGGAGGCTCTCGCCGTGGCCGTTGAGGTTCTTGACGTGCAGACGGGTGCTGTTGAAGTCGGCCGTGTTCCACTCACCCTGGAAGATGCTCTTGCGCAACAACTGCACCACCCATACATGTACACACAAGCACACACATCGCTCCCGGGTCAAGCAGGCCCTTCCTCTCCCTCCGTCCGTCCGTCGTCACTCACCGTGTCGAGGTCATTGGCGCTTGATGTGGTGAGCCGCCTCATGAGGATGTCCGCCAGGCCGTCGAAAGCGGCGTTCGTGGGCGCGAAGACTGCAGTCGTTCACACAGACCAACACACACACAATGCACCCGTGGGTGGGTGGGTGGATGGAGGGAGGGAGGGAGGGGCAGCGCGTCATGCCTGCAGGCGTACCAGTGAAAGGCCCTCCCGAGCAGAGCAGGTCGTAGAGGTTGTCAGCCTCCATGTTGACCCGTTGCCGACTCCGGCCGTCGACAGCAGGGCCGAAAGCAGTGCCGATCTCGCCGCTGCCGCCACCTGAGTCCGACGGCGTCCTCTCCGACTCGCCTCCTGTCGATTGTGAGCCGGACTGGTAGTGGCCCGTTCCTGAGGAGGACCAGCCGAGCAAGCTCCTCCGAAGCCGCAGGCCCGATGCCTTCTTGATCAGGGCGCAGTAGGTGCTGGTCTCCTGCACATGAACGACACACCACAACACACACGAGGGAGGGAAGAGGCCAGACAATGAGCGAGCGACGCATTTATTTATCGGCCTCCCCCCCGTCTGTCTGTGTGAGTGAGTGTTGTGTGTTCCCTCACTCACCTGTGAGGAGCAGATGAGTTTGCACAGAGCGTCGCCCGACCGCTCATGTCCTGCCTGCAACGGGGCGTCACCGACAGTGCGGTTGGAGTCGATCACTCCTGCATCACCATCACCGTCACCCTCCTCTTCAGATGGTCCAGACGGCGCCGATGGCCCAGATGGCGCAGACGGCCCTTCACCTCCCAGCAGGGGCGGCGCCACACCATCTTCTTCATCGCCAGGAGTGGTCACGCTGACGCCATCAGGAGCCGTGACACTGCCGTCCTCGACATCATCTCCTGGCGGGCCGGGCTCGGTGCGATCTGTAGGTCCATCAACAGACACAGGGGGGCCGGGACGGGGGACAGTGATGTCAGTGACATTAGTGTCTCCTCCAGCGACGGGGGGCTGCTGTCTGGTGCCGTTATTCCCCTCCCCACTGTCTGGCTCGCTGACTGTCCCATTCCCACTGTCCTCGCTGGGCGCCTCATCTCGGCTGTCTGTCCAGTTGTCAGTCGGCTGGCCCCCGCCACCTCGTATCTCGTCTATGCCTGGCTGGCCGGGTGCGTCGTCGGCAGTTCTGTTCTCCTGACCTTCTTCGGGCTCATCGATGATGATCATGTCACCTTCATCCTCATCCTCACCGGGGCCTGGCGACGCCACGCCCTCCTCCCCTGGCTGCCGCTGCTGCTGCTCGTCGAGGGGTGCGGGGGTGGTCACGCCTTCCTGCTCGCCACGTGGGCCGTCAACATCTGAGAGGACAGGCACAGCGCCGTCGTCACGTGAATCGAAGGCGCCACCGTCATCAGGCTCGAGTGGGGGAGGCACGATCATGTCGGCTGTGTCGTTAGAGACCGATGGCTGATCGACCGCGCCGCCCCCCACTGAGCTGTCGCTGTCTGTCCCATTCCCTCTCTCTGCTGGGCTGTCTCGCTGGTCTGGCTCTTCCTCGCCTGACTGGCCTGGCACAGCCGCCCCGTCTCCCGGGGCTATGTCCTGACCTGGTGGGCCGTCAGCCGGTTCGCCACCCACTCTGCCTGGGCCCGTCACATCAGGGGGCATGACCACCTGGAGCTCGTCTTCTTCACCAGGTTGTGTGCGGGGGGGTGCCGCGACGTCGTCGACGCCGTCTCCATCCTCATCGCTGACGGGCGGTGCTTCGACGCCATCCTCCTCGTCGAGCGGCGAAGGGGTGGTCTCGCCTTCGGGGGCACCGTCACCATCTGAGGGAACATCAGGCTCGAGTGCGGGAGGCGCGATCATGCCCTCATCATCCGGGACCGGCCCGCTGTTTGTCCCATCCCTGCTGTCTGGTGTGGTGCCGTCCCCGCTGTCCGGGGCCGGCTGGTCTGGCTCGCTCTCGTCTGACTGGCCTGGCGACCCGCCTCCTCCCGAGGTGATGTTCTGACCTGGTGAGACGTCTGACCCGCCCTCGTCGATGGCGTCACCGTCATCCGGCTCGTCAATGATGATCAACACGCTGTCGTCGTCATCCTCGTCCAGAGGGGGCGGCGCCACCAGGCCCTGGTCCTCTTGCTCTTCCTCTCCCTCTTCGCTATCGAGAGGTGTGGGCGTCGTGGCGGCGTCCTCCACCTGTGTCACGGCACCTGGCTCCCTCTCCTCGGCGGCTGTGTCGGACTCTGCAGGGGGAGACACATCGTCACGATCAGAGACGTCAAATTCATCATCGACAGTGACGGCCCCTCCGCCGCCTGCCGGCTGTCCCTCCCCTCCCTCCTCGTCTGCTGCTGGCTGTTGCTCATTTGTATCACTCTCAATGTCACTGTCTGGCCCCTCCCTGCTGGCTGTCCCATCCTCCCTGCTGACTGTCCCATCCTCGTCTCGTCCTGTGTCTGTGTGGTCATCGTCTGGTGCCACTGTCTGGTCTGGGAAGTCGAATTCGACGGTAATGGTCCCATTATTCTGACCTTCAGGAATGTCGACGGACGTGTCGTTCTGGTCAGGAGCCTCCGGGGCAGCAGCGGGCCCTTCGGGTGGCTCCTCTGCCGATGGTGCCTCGCCGCTCGGCCCAGTGCCACCAGCCCCACTTGGCGCAGTGACGACCTCCTCCTCAGGTGCCTCGCCAGGCGCAGTGCGGTCACCGTCCCCTTCTGAGGGAGCTGGAGCCTCGCCCTCACTCGGCTGCTCGGCAGGAGGCTCGCCTTCACTCGGCTGCTCGGCAGGAGGCTCGCCTTCCCGCGGTTGGTCAGCCGGTGGTCCAGCGACAGCGCCGCCTTCATCGCCAGTGATGGGGCCAACGCCGGCATCAGCTGGTGGCACGAACATATCGTCACCAGGGGCTGGAGATCCGGGAGACGCGTCAGTGTCATTCGGGAGCGGGGGAGGGACGCCCATCCCGTCCTCTGCGTCACCTGCGCCCGCTCCTGCGCCCAAGCCGGGTTCCTCTCCACCATCCGGCTGCGTGCCGTCCTCGCCACTTGCTGGTTGCTCACCGGGCTGGTCGCCCTCTTGCGGCTGGTCTCCCTCTTGAGGCTGGTCTTGCTGGTCGGGGGGCGCCTCACCGCCGGTGCGGTTCTGGCCTGGCTCCACTTCAGGCGCTCCGGGAGGGGGAGCTGGTGCGCCGTCGGGAGGCCCTTCTGGCCCAGCTGCAGCTGGTGGCGGAGCTCCTGCGCCGCCGTCACCACCAGGGGCAGGTGGACCCTCGGGGGCAGGTGGACCCTCGACAGCAGATGGAGCCTCGCCAGCTGGTGGAGCCTCTCCGGGTCCGGCGCCGCCGTCAGCTGGCCGTCCACCAGGGAAGGGACCAAGGGGACCGCTGCCGATCTCTGACAGAGCGCCAGGCAAAACACAAACGAGACATCATTCTGGTCATTGGTGTGTGGTGTCTGTCTGTGTCGTGTGCTCACTTCACTTACGTTGTCCTTGCTCGTCCGTGGGCGGAGCTGCACCGGGCTCGACGCCTTCCTGAGGGGTGTCGGAGAAGTCGGCCTCATCCGGGAGGGTGACCTCCTCCTCGGCAGGTGCTCCTGGTCCATCGGGGTCAGAAATGACGGACACAGGGGCCTCCTCGTCGCTCACACCAACGCCGGTGGATGGCTGGCCGTCGGTGCCGTTGGTCCCATTGGTGGTCTGGCCCTCAATGAAGCCCTCCTCACTCGGCGGCTCAGCACCAACAGCATCCTCTTCACTCACACCGGGCGCGACGTCATCGCCCACGTCGCGAGGAGTGGAGGGCGGCGCGCCACCTGCGCCAGCACCGCCCTCTGCTGTGTCGGGCTCCTCGGCGACCGGCTGACTGTCGGGGCTGCGGATCACTGACTCCTCGGAGTCATCACCCGCAAAGGAGGGTGCGGAGGTGGGGCCGTCGGGGGCCTCCAACCTTTCCGACCTCGTCTCATCGCCGATGTCACGCTCGTCGATGGCTCCGCCCGCCCCAGCACCGGCAGATGACTCGTCGGTGACGACACCCGATGCGCCAGGGATGCCTCGGGGCGCGGAGTCGTCGCCGTCGCCAGTGCCCGATGGGGCATCCTCGACGGGCGTCCCTCGTGACTCGTCCACAAATGACGCCGCAGGGGAGCCTTCGGCAGGCGAGGAGCGGCTTGGAACGCCTTGTGCTGGGCCGCCAGTGCAGTTGAACTTGAAGGGGCGGAACTCTAGCTCAGAGTCGGACAGGCCTTGGGGCGGGAGGGTGAGGCCCTTGAGGGTCACGGGTGCCCGGCCTGTGGCGTTGAGGCAGCACAGCAGGTCGGCCCACCTTTGCTCCCACTCCTCCAAAGTTGCGCGACGGGTGGCGTACAGCTGCTCAGACACCTACGCATGCACAGCACACGTGAGGGCGGGTGGGATAATGAGACGCCACGCCCTGTGCTGTCTGTAGACCGACCTTATATGACTGAAAGACGTCCAGGCATTCGTCGAAGACGGGCGAAACGCACAGGGAGGTCTCACAGTCACAGTACCCAAATCCGCCGAGGCCCTGGCAGTCGGCGTCGATGTCACAGGTGGTGCCGTTGACGCGCTGGCAGGTCCGGCTGTTCTCGTCCCACTTAAGCCAAGGCGCACACAAAGTCGCATTCTCAAAACCTATACCTGCACACAAAGTCAAACAAACAGCTACGCCACTCACTCAGCGAGACACCGGTGGGTGCGACGTGCCCACGCACCGATTGTCCCATCGACAGGCCCCTGCGCCTTCGAGAACTGTTTGGTGCATGTGTTGTTGAGGCAGACGTGGCCTATGGCACACTGCTGGGGGTTCGACCCGTCGCAGGGGGCGTCCACATCCTGCCGGGGCTGGCACTCCGGCTCCACCAGCGACGTGCTCGCTGCCGGACAGTAGTAACCCTGGTCCATCGACCAACAACACACAAGGATAACCACGTGTGTTTGTGTGTGTTTGTGTGTGTGCGTACTTCTGGGCAGCACTGGTCGATGCATCCCCGTCTTGTCCTGAGTGCATCCGCGAACGACGCCTCTTTGCGGTCGACGCGAGTGGCGATGACGCCCGTCGTGTCGTCCGAGAAGGGCCTGCCGCCGGGATCCCTGCCCACCACACAGGTGCCGTTGTCGCAGCTCCCGCAGTCGGAGCAGAAGCTAAATGGCGTGGAGCAGTTGCCGCCCACGGGCAGCTCCTCCAGCACGCAGAAGTGGCCGTACACGAAGCCCTCGTTGCGGTCGATTTCGACGCTCGAGTTGAGGTTGGCGATGGCGTTGACGGAGGCGTTGAAGGACGGAGACAGCTCCACGATAGAGATCCGCGGGTCGACCACCTCGGGGTCGGTGAGGATGTCGGCCAGGCAGTCGTGGCCGATGTTGTTGCGGGACGGGATGCCCTGCAGCGAACGTGCACGGGAGGTGGATCCTTCGGTGAAGGGGGCGAAGTTGGTCACGTTGAGGGCCATCCGAAGACACTGGCCCCCAGCCGCACACGGCGACTTCTCACTCGCGTCACACGGGCAACCTGACACACACACACACACACACACACACAGGAAGGGGCACCAAGTGTGTATGCCTCACGACACGTGTGTGTTGTGTGGTGTTTTGGTGGACAGGTATGAGCATGTATACCTATGAGGTGTCTGGGGGAGCAGACGTTGGAGGAATTACAAAAAAGGCCGTTGGCACACAGCTCCTGCTGTGAATTATCCGCGGGCACGCAGGGCTGGTTCAGCCCACGGGAATACGGGAACACACACGTGCCTGTCATCACATGCATCACATGCATGACGCACACAGAGAGAGACATCAGTCAGTCAGCTATGGCAGGAGGTAGCTGTTGGTGGTTCGCTTGTTTCCCTCCCACCTTCGTTGTCGTTGGTGGCTGTGTCGCTCCTGACGCATGTGAGCGGTGCGAGGCACCTTTTCCTGCTGCCGCTGGAACTCGTCTCCCAATTCAACGTACACGCCTCACCCTCCTCCTACACCACACCACACCACACAGACGAACACATCGATCAACCAACCGTTGCTGGCTGCTGTGTGGGTGTAGGGGCTGACTTACATGCCAGGAGCACTCGGTGCCCCGCAAGTAGACCACAAGCAGTGCGATCAAAACCCCGACGGCGGCCACGGCCAGGCCGGCAGGGATGGCCTTCCAGGCGCCAGGAGGGCACCCCTTCCGGCCGCCCCTCCCCCGGCCACCGCCACCCGGTCCAGACCCCTCCTTGAAGCGCGGGCCAGGCCTGAAGTCGGCATCACTCTCGCCCACGCTGATGGGGCTCTCGGGGACGGCAGCCGAGCTGCCGCCGGGTGAATTGGCCACGTTGGCCTGGGGGGTGGCGTGTGCGGTGGTGGGGGTGGCGACCTGCGCTGTGGTGGGGGTGGTGGCGCTGCTGGCTGCTGTGGCTGGTGGACGGGCGTTGGCGCCGCCGCCTTGGATGGCCGTCAGAGGCGATGGGTCCATCATGATAGCCACTCACTCACTCACTTGGGCGAAAAGAGAAAGGAACACAGCTCAGGGCAGAAGGCCAGATCAGGTCAGACGTCGCTTGCTTGAGGCGGTAGGAAGCACTCGAATGCTGCTTTCCTGTGTGTGACCGTTGAGAGGCAGGCAGGCAAGCCGCTCAGGCAGTCAGGAGTCAGTCAGAGCGAGACAGGCCGCGCCGTGCGCTGCTGCAGCTTCATTCCTCCAAAAACGCGAATGGCGTCGGGCTTCCTTGGACAGACGCTGTCACGCAAGCGCGGGCGCGGCGGTGCGGCAGATGGCGGCGAACAGGCCGACGCGTGGACGTGTTGAGAAAAGGTTGCTGTCGCAGATCTTGACACGCACGGCCGCGGCGGGGTCTCAGGCAAAAGGTCAGAGCAAAGTGATTCTGCTTTCGCAGAGGGAAAGCAGCGAAAAGCAAACTTGACAGCTCGCGACGCGTATGCGAGCTTAGCTCAGAGGCGAGGTGTGGAGTGATCCTTTCCACCTCTCTGGCGGCTGTGGCGCGTCTGCGAGGATGTGCTGGTGATGGATCACACCAAGATCGAGGGCGTTTGTTGAGTGAACTCACTCACCCGACTCATCTGCCTCCTTCCGGGTGAGCATCGCATCGATCGTCATGTTGGTGCTTGTGGAGACCGCCGCTGGCTATGGGCTGTTCCGGGTGCTCAAGAGTGGGCTGGAGGAGATGGACGCCACCTCCGTTGCCAAGGCGTTCGCCACACCCGATAAAGCTCAAAGCGCGTACGCACACACTGCACGACTGAATGCAGACACACACACACATGAACAGACTCGCTTGTTGGTCTCTCTCCCTCGGTGGGTATGCATATCTATCTGTGGCGTATCTATCTGTCAGAGTGAGTTTGGAGGCGTTTTCTCGGTTCAAGGACACCAAGGCCGCCTTGGCGGCCGCCACGGCCTTGGTGGAGAGCAAACTCGACAAGGGCCTCAGGAAGTTCCTCAAGAAGAACATCAACGACCAGCAACTCACCGACAAACTCGCCGGTCGGCCGCTCACTCAACTGGCCGCGAGTGTGTTCATTCCCTCGTGTGATGCGACGGATGTGTGCTGATGATGGATGTTATGGATGGCTGCACCGGCTGCAGTTGCTGACAAGACGTTGGGCGGTTTGATTCAGAAGAAGCTTGAGATCGACGTGGTGTACAACCCCGGGGTGCAGGAGGTCATCCGCGGCATCCGAAGCCAACTCACCGAACTCATCGCCGACATCTCAGAGAAAGGTACCTGGTACACCAGCACAGCACCGGCCCGCCCTCAATCCATCTGGATGGATGGACAAAGAACGGTCCTTCTGTGGCTCGTGTGTGCATCATCGATCGCATGATCTGTCCGTCGGCATGGCATCCTCCGTCCTCCGTCAGACATGCGCACGATGGCGTTGGGTTTGTCGCACACGTTGAATCGGTTCAAGCTCAAGTTCAGCCCCGAGAAGGTCGACACCATGATCGTGCAGGCCATCGGTAGGGAGGGACGCAGCGAGGCAAACGACACACGCCACCCACCACATGTCACTCACACAAGTGCGAGGACTCTTGTTGGTGTGGTGTGTGTGTGTGTGTGCAAATCAGGATTGCTGGATGACTTGGACCGCGAGCTCAACAACTTCGCTATGAGGCTCAAGTAGGCATGGCGTACACACAGGCACCTACATGCAAGCTGCACGGACGGAGTCTGTCCCTTCCCTGTGTGTGTCCGAGCAGGGAGTGGTACGGGTGGCACTTCCCCGAGCTCGCCAAGATCGTCACTGACAACGTCACCTACGCCAAAACCATCAAAGAACTCGGTGAGGGGGCATCCCATTCACACACACATCCATCCACAGCCCCATGGATCTGCTCCCCCACGCCCCGCCCACACTGTCTCTTGCCTTGCGTGTGCTGTGCACATATGGCCATGGTAGGGATGCGTTCGCACTCCAAGGACATCGACTTGAGCGATTTGCTGACTGAGGAGATATCCAAGGAGGTGGCGCAGGCGGCCGAGATATCGATGGGGACGGAAATCACCGACGAGGACCTCCAGAACATCCTCGAACTCTGCGACAGGGTCATCGAACTCAGCGAATACAGGTCGGTGGGGTCATTGTCGTGCGTGCCACGTCATGCATCTGTTTTGTGTGCGCGGTGCGCAGGGGGTCGTTGGCCAAGTACCTTGAGTACCGGATGAGCGCCATCGCGCCCAACCTAACGCACATGGTGGGCGAGCTGGTGGGGGCGCGACTTATCGCACACGCCGGCAGCCTCATCAACCTCGCCAAACACCCGTCGTCCACCGTACAGATTCTCGGTAGGTACCTACGTGTGTGTGGGAGCAAAGGAGACGAACGAGCATGCTGACCACACGGAAGGAACACTCTGTGCGTATAATGCGTGTGTAGGTGCTGAGAAGGCGTTGTTCCGGGCGCTCAAGACCAAGAAGGCCACCCCCAAGTACGGCCTCATCTATCATGCGGCTCTCGTGGGACAGTCGGCGCCAAAGTTCAAGGGTGCGCCGGGTCGATTGACAGACAGGGAGGGAGGCATCGCGGCAAAGACGGAAAAAGAGTGCGTCTGTTGTGTTGTGTCGTGTTGTGTGATGATGTGTGCAGGGAAGATATCTCGTGTGTTGGCTGCCAAGCTGTCGCTGGCCATACGAGTCGACGCACTGGGAGATCAGGTGAGTGAGGGACGACATGACACCGCTCACGTCACGTATCCATGCCCTGCTCACCTGCCGTGGTGTGCTGCGTTATGTGTCAGACTGAGCCGACTGTGGGCATTGAGAACAAAAAGTACGTCGAGAAGCGCCTCATGGAACTCGAGAGTGATGCCACCAAAGGTGCGCCGCCCCCTAGCCAAGCCAAGCCAAGCCACCCACCCACCTGTGTGACACGCAGTGCCACTGCACTGTACTCATCTGTCTGTCCTTCATGTGCTGGCTGCAATCAATAGGCATGGGCAAGTTCGCCCCCCCGAGCGGCAAGAAATACACGCCCATGCGAGCAGGGTACTCACACACGATGCACAGACGGGAGGTGGCGGGCGGCAGCACCACTGCGTGTCTGTGTGTGTGCGCATTCAGTGGTCTGAAGGGCTACGACACGTCGGCTGACCAGGTGAAGGTGCAGCAGAAGTCGGCCCCCTCCCGCGTCAAGGAGGAGGAGCCCGACGAGGACATGATGATGCAGCAAGACGAGGTCAGCCAGCCACCCACCCACCCAGTCAACACCACTGACAGCCACTCCACTCACACGCGTGTGTGTCCGCTTCCGGCGATCGATCAGGTGCCCGCCCCCAAGAAGATCAAGAAAAGGAAGGCCATGTCGGGCGGCCCTGCCGCTGCTGCTGCAGCGGGAGACATGGAGGACGGGGGGGAGGGCATGAAGACTGAAGAGGGGGCAGAAGGTACGCCGCTGTGTATCATCTTGTGTGTGGTGGATGGATGGATGGATGGCCTCATCTCGTGTGTGTGTGCCTGGTGTGTGCAGAGGGTGAGGTGGCGGAGGAGCGGCCCAAGAAGAAAAAGAAGAAAAGGGCGCAGCAGCAGCAGGACGAGGAGGAGGACGAATGATGGATGAAGGGGCAGGCAATGGGAGAGCCGACTGATCGATTGGTCGATTGGTCGCTGCAGCCAGCTGGCTCACAACGACTCACAGCGACTGACTGCATGGAACGACTGAGTGATGTTTTACACACACTGCCTGCCTTGCCGCACCTGACCTGTAGAGATCCCCCTTTCATGCAGTTTGACATGGATGTAACTGCGTTTCTCTCATCCAGCTAGGAACACAAGAAGGCTTCAGGCGCGTCAGGCAACGCACTTGGTTCGCTCCATCGAGGGCCAGCGCACCGAGTTGGTTGTGCGATGTGGTTTGGGCCTTCCTGTCTTCGTCTGGTCTGTCTGTCGGCTTTGAGCTGTCTGTCGAGTTTTCCATTCATCTGTGTCGGTCGGTGTCCTGTCGACACTCTCATCATGAGTGACCGATCTGTCGCACCGCTACTCGACGTGGTGGATCAAAAGCGCACACATTGAATGAATGACTGATGGGGGCCATGTAGGCACACATGACATGGATGAAAGTCGTCCCACATCAACACACGCATGTAGGTCGGCAGGCAGCCATCAGTCGATCGACGCAAACAGGCTCACATGGTTGTTAACCACAGGCACGTGGTCACACGGCATGACAAAGGCCGAACACTCCCCACTGCGCGTTGGCCACCATCACTCGTCGGCGCCGCCCGTCTGCACAGCGATGGTGTCGAGCTCCCGCATGCCCTCCTTTGTTATCCGACGACCGCTGCACACACACCACATACACATTATCACCACACACAGGCATCACGCAGAATGTATGTCTGTGTGCGTCGGGCTCGGCGTACCCCTTTTGGTCCGTTTCGACGATGTTCATTTTCTCGAGCTGCTGTAGGCAGTATCGGTTGATCTTGCCGGATGCCTTGGTGAAGATGCCGGGCTGCGCGCCCCGCCTCTTCTTGACGCCGAAGACCTTCTTGAACGCACCCACACCCATGCCCGGACGGATGTACACCCGACGGGCGATGGCAGCTGCACACACACACACACACACACACGACAAGAGGCACATGGTTCCACCCATCCTTGCATCCTCATGGTGTAGTCAGTCGCTCCTCCGTTGCCTTGCCCATACATACCACATCTGACGTAAAGCCAGTCAGGGTCATACGGCGCCAGCTCCCTCCCGTGGCTCGTCTTGACGTACTCCGCCCACTGAACACAACACACACACACACACACACACACACACGTGTGCACAGCCTCCACTCCCTCCCTCCCACCCCTCCCTCCTCCCTCCCCAACGCACCCACCTCGGGGATCTCGAGCTTGCCGGACCGCTTGAGCTGTTTGGCGTAGGCGTGGATGAAGGTCTCGGCGGCCACGTCCTTGACACCGTGCACATTGCACTTGAGGCCGATGGCCTTCAGCGTCGCAATGTCCGACATCTACGACGGATCTTTCACCGATCTTTCAGGAGTGTATCGCACTGACCCTCTCGCGCGAACCGCGCCCTCACCTTCGTTCAGGGTGTGCGCTCCCCGCCGCGATCCAATGCGAGCTATGAAGCTCGCACTTGCGGATGAGAGAAAACGACGAGAAAAAGGAGAAAATCGGGGCAAGAGCAGGCAGGCAGCAACACAGCCGTTGCCAGCGTTTGATAAGTTCTCTCTTCGTTTCGTGGTTTGCGTATCCGCCACCATGCCGCCGCCGCCGGCGGTGAAGAAGAACGGTCTCCCGGCGGACTATGGACTGTCGGGGCGCGCAAGCTACATGGGCTGCGGCATGTATTTCCCACGCACAGGACCCCCCGGCAACAGCAGCAAGGCGCAGCATCACGGCAGTGGCCACCAGTGCCGTCCTCAGCGGCCTGCAGGACTCGGCAGCGGTGCATGCATCGGCAGCAAGCCGCCCAGTAGTCGACCTGACGTCAATCAGCATATGGCGGCAGCGGCTGTGCGCCAGAGGGAGAGGGCGGCGGCCAAGGCCAGGGCACACCAGAGGGCTAAGGAGGAGGATCTGAGGAGGTATCGGGAGATGTTGCAGAAGAACCCCAAGCTCGGCGGCGGCGGAGCTCGACTGTGTCCAGTCGCCCGCAAGGCCCCGCCGGCCAAGCCGCCCACCCGCGCCAGCGTGACGAAGGGCACACGTGTGGGCGCCAAGGGGCGTGTAGCGGGGGGTGCGGACAAGTCAGCCTCGCACCGTCAGTCGTCGGCAGTGCGTGTGTCCCCCTCCCCGTCCCCCGCCCCCCGCCTGACGACACAGCACGACACGAGCCGCCGAGGGGTGGTGCAGGAGGGTAGCAGGGCTGCTGGCGAGGGTGGGTGTGGGGGGGATGGTGGCGATGGGTTGGGGACCATCGATGCCGTTGTCGTAGTGGGTGTTGTTGACGAGGTTGACGACGGCTCTGCACAGGTGAGGGAATGAACGAGGGCGACTCCGCACATGAGATTAGCATATGGTGGGTGCACGTGTGTGTTGTGTTGGTCCTTGGGTCTGTCTGTCTGTCTGTCTTCAGGTGTATCGTTGTGCTGACGAGGGCCGTTCGTGTGCCATCGTAGAAGCCGCTCATGCTCACCTGCCGGACGCTGCGGCGCTCCACGTGTCTGTTGGTGCTCCCTACCCCCTCCCCGCCCCCTCCCAGCACAACAGCGGTGTGTGTGAGTCGACGCCAATGGCGGTCGACGGCATCAATGCCGTCGACGACGGTGTGGCCATGGTGGGTGAGGTGGAGGGCATCGCTGACGAGGCTAACGACGGCTCTGCACAGGTGAGGGAATGAGTGAGGCCGACCCACACACATGATAACACAACACCGGGATGGATTGATGATGGCTGCGGTTGCCTTCGTTGTTTGGTCTGTCAGATCGTTGACGAGCCCAAGGGGGACGAGCAGCCCATCACACCCGGCCAGAACGAGGCCCCTGCCGACGAGCCCCAGGATGGCGCTGCAGTGGCGTCCACTTCGTTCGTCCGTGGCGACGGCCACTCGTTGGTGTGTGAGGGGTACAACATGGTCAAGACGGTGCGGCGGTGCACTGCGGCAGAGGCGTATGTGAGTGCGGCCAACGCCACCATCAGCACGTGGAAGCCCAAGACGGTCAGGAGCGTGCGAATTACCCAGTGAATGGCTGAGTGGATGAGAGGCGAGTGTGTGGTGGGAGGGAGAGAGGGAAAGGGACATGATATGGATGGATGGATGGATGGGTGCCGGGATAGCTATACAGACACTCGTATGTGAGTGGCTGCCTTACTACCGGCTGTCCGGCTGGCTGCATGTACAGTACCTGCCTGCCTCCCCCGCACACACAGATAGACGGACGATAGATACTGACTACCTTGCTCCCTCACTGCATCCGTGGACTGATACTTACCGAAGAGACAGACAGACAGACGGCCCCGTCGGAGGGATAGAGCGGGCGAGAGAGAGAGGGAGAGAAGCGGTCACCCACAGTCGCCATGGTCACTCTCTCTTGAGAGTAAACACACGCACCGCGCCCACCATGGCATGGTGTGGTGTCCAGTCCAACCAGAGGAGCGTGCGTCTACATAGATAGCTGTCGCATGGACCCTCTTTGTTGTGGGTGCGTTCCTTTGTGTGTAGTTGTGCCTCTTTGTCGGTCGATGTCATTCATTTATGCGCGTGTGTTTGTCGTGCAATTTACCCTTAGTCTGGCTGTATTACCTACCGTTGCACTGCCTGTATTTCTCCCACGATACATAGCGGTATGGCTGCAAGAATGGGTGCCTTTACTGTGATTTATTGCCGTGAACTCTCTCTCCCATTTGCGTCGTGATTATGTCATGCTTGCTGCTCGCACTGTGTTGTGTTGTGTTGTGTTTGTGGGGTGGGGTGGGGTGTGTGTGTCTCGGGGTGGGGCGGGGCGGGAGGGCAGTGTGTGTGGCGGCAGATAAGTTTTAGTGCCGGGGCCGCGTGTGTGGGTAAAGGGAGAGCGGTGCCCGGCCTGCTTAGCTAGCTAGCTGCATACTTGACTGACTGACTGACTCCATACCGCATCGCTGCGTGGAGTGCATTGGCGTTTTTTCAACGTGTATGCCGTTTGGTCTGTCAGTCTGTCCGTCCGTCCGTCCGTCCGTCATGCATTTGTGCCGTTGTACAGTGGGTGGCTGCCCGCACCGAGGAATGGGAGAGATACGTACCTCTTTGCTTTTAGCACACTGCGCCTATACACACATCGTTGCGTGGCCGTGCGGTGTTTTTTCAAGGTGCGTGGGCCGTTTGCCTGTCTGTCTGTGTGTGTATCTGTCTGTCTCTGTATCTGCCTTGAGAATGGAGGGCCGCCATTTTGAGGCGGGGTGGGCACCACTGAGAGAGAAGGAATGACAGGACAATGGCTGACGGGCTGATACATACTGGCCACATAAGTAAGTGGCTGATCTGACATCGGGGCAGTCTCACTCACTCACTACACGTAGGTACCTTTCTGGTTGCTTTCCGTTTTCTCGGGGCGCTGGTAGCCTCCCTCTTTGGTTTTTCTTTTTATCCAGACGCCTCTCTGTTCTGTAGGCGTCTGGTTTTTGTTTGCTTTCATCCAGACGGCTGCAGAGCTCTGCAGCCGTCCGTGTTTCTTCTCGTCTTTGCGTTGGTGGCCGTGTTTGTTTTTCTTTCTCTTTCGTGCGGTTCTTGGTTTCTCTCGCCTGTGTTTTTCTGCGGTTCTCGTACCCGTATTTTATTGTATTGTATTGTTTTGTTCTGTTTTCTTTTGAAGACGTGGTGAGTGTGATGGGCCCTCCCTCCCTCCCTCCCTCATGGTCAGTCAGTCAGTCAGTCAGCCAGCCGTCCGTCACTCAATCAAGCAATCACTCCCCGTGTCATTCCACGCACAAACCAACCAGCCCGGCCCTCTCACCATGACCCCCTCCACTCTCTGTTGATGGCGTTTCTTTTCTCGCGTCGCTGCATGCCTCACTGGATGAATGAATGGATGGATGGATTCTACCACGTGTGGACGTGTCAGTGTTCCCACCCCTCTCTCTCGCCCTTGTTGCTGTGCTAAGCACACCAATCTGGGATTCGTAGTGGAGTGAGCGTGGAATTCGATAGCTGAGCGTGTGCTGCCGCTGGCTGCATGCATTCATTCATTCATTCATTCATGGTGTTGGTGTGGTGTGCTGATGTATTTATACACAGACAGAAGTGTGCCAAGGTGTGTGTGTGCACTGGAGGGAAGCTCGGTGTGGGTTGCTTACATCGTACGTACCGCCACGCTGTCTTTGATGCCCGCATCGGACTGTCTGGCTGGGTGGCTGGCTGGCTGGCTGGTTTCTCTGTGGTGAGGTGTTGTGATGCTGCGCGGGACGCATGCCGTGTGACTGCTTGTGACGACTGTGAGAGACTCACGAAGACGGCGGTTAATGCTGAAGTTGCCAATAAGTATACCGCTCACTTTGCATCCATCCAGGTGTGTGTGGCGGTGAGATGCAGTGAGCAGACAGACAGACTGACACACAAACACACAAATGCACGTGAAAGGTAAGCGGCATCCTCTCTCTCAGTTGTCTCTCTCCTTGCTACACACACATAAGAACAGTCTGTGGCACACAGGCACAACATCAGCGTCCACCCACCGATGCGCCGGGTGGCAGGACACTAGTGTCTTGTCCACCGAGTGTCTTGTCGGTCAGCGGGTAGTCTTGTCGATCAGGATGAGCAGGCAGTGCAGGGCACAAATCCATCCATCCATCCAGACAGACCGGCCCGACCGACCAATTGCAATGCAGACGCGCCCGCGACAAAAGGGCGACCATAAACCGGCCGGGACAAAGACATTCAGTTAAGTCTTGTCAGTCGTCGACACATCGGCCGACCTATCTCACAGAAGCAGCCAATCGTCAACCGACCAGACAAGCACACCTGCATGGCACACAAACCACGAGCAGACAGACAGGCAGACAGGCAGCCCTGCCTGCCTGCGTACCACTGCGGTGTTCAAGTGCAGTCGGCGCCGCAGCTGCACCATTGCCTGTCGTCACGGCCGCACGCACACTCACACAACTCAGACGGCAACGCAGACGCCGGAGGACAGATCTCGGCACAGGGTGGGACGGACAGCAAATCTCGTGCAGGGGTCCGTCAGGAAGGGGCGACTAGCGACGAGCGGCCCTCGCCTCCTCAGCCTGTGCGAGCTTAGAGGCAGCGAAATCCCTCCTCTCTTGGGCCTAACGCAACGCTCTGACAGGTAATGGGATGGGCAGAGAGGGCTGCATTTTCATAGATCTTCGCTCAAACCCATCGATGCATCCTCTCCTGGTGTGTGACTCCCCAGGTGCAGGTGCGATGAGCCGTCGGCAGGCGATTCGGCTCCTTGCAGCACCGCTCACCGGCTGCAGCTGCAATCCCACGCTCCCCACCACATCTCTGAGGACCTTCTCAAGGCCCCTCCTCGCCACACACGCAGGGCGGCATGCATCCCCCCTCCTCCCCTCCCACCGCATGAGGCCCTTCTCGTCCTCCACTGCTCAGTCGGACCCCCCAGAGCAGCCGGCAGCCGCTCCCGATGCCGCTGCCACCCCTGTGAAGCCTCGCCCTTCGGTACCACCTGGAGGGAAGAAGGTTGGAGGGAAGGCAGGATGGGGTCCGACTTTGTTGCGGGGCGTGCTGGTGGCTGCGGCGGGGACCGGGGCGGCGGCGGGCTTTTATCTCTACTTCTTGTCGACGGAGCTCACATGGACAGGTAGGTAGCCTGGTGGTTACTTCACTCACGCCCACCTCCCCACATGGCATGGCTCCTGTGTCCGTGTGTGTGGGAGGGTGGGTGGATCATTCAACCATCGGATCGCATGGCTCTGTGTGTGTGTGTGGTGGGTGTTGCGCTGCATTGTGTGTGCAGAGTTTTGTCGGCGTCTCAACGATCGGTTTGAGGTGTGGAATGACTACTCGAGGGACTGGTTCGACAAGTACATCGTCGAAAAGGTCAGTCACGTGTCCAACATGACACAGCGGTGTGCGTCACGGCCAGCTGCTGTGCTCTGTGTGTGTTTGCTGTGTGTGTGTTCGTTCAGCTGGCTCCCGAGGGCAACGAGCCTCTGTTGATAGAGAAGGAGAAGCTCGAGATCCCCGACTTTGTGCCCACACTCATCCTCGACCTCAACAAAACACTGGCTTTCCTCGAGCATGATGTAAGCAGCACACACACAGGCAGACCGACGCCCATTAGTTTATGTGTGGCTGGTGGTGTGGTGTGTTGGTTGTGTAGCGTCTGCAAGGCTGGCGGTGCATCAAGCGACCGCACGCGGATCAGTTCCTGCAGGAGCTCAGCAGATACTTCGAGCTTGTCATCTGGTCCGACGACAACTTTCCTGTAAGCTCGCCTGCAACAAGAGCCGCAAGCATGATACTGTAGACGACTGTGCCCGCTGTCTGTCTGTATGTATATCTGTGTATTTGCAGGTGGCTCAGGACGTGATAGCCAAGTGGGCGATCCCCGTCACTGGGGTGCTGCACCGGGAGTTCTGCAAGAGGCGGAGATACGGTTACATCAAGGTAGGCACGCGCCTGTGGGTGTGCAAACAAACAGACACTCACGCAATCGCAAGTTCTGGTCTGTCTGTCTGTCGTTGATTGGCGTGTGTGTCTGGCCACTAACTGATCAGGACATCTCCCGTCTGGGTCGTCGGGCCGACAAGATGATCATCCTCGATCACGACCGCGTCGCCTTCTCGGTCAGTACCAAGGACACACACACACACACACAGGGCAAACCGCCCCCACTCCCTGGTGTGTGTCCGCGTATCTTTTCTCGTTCTTCAGCTGCAGCCCGACAACGGCGTGTTGGTTCGCGAGTTCACGGGTGACCCCGACGACCACGAGCTGCTCTACCTTCTCGACTTCCTCAAGGGTACGCACGTGGGCGGGCCGCTAAAGTCAGGGACACAAACACGAGACAGAGAGAGTCTGGCCATTCTCTTGTCTGTCTGTCTGTCTGGCGTGCCTCCATGCATCCGTCGGTCCACTGGTCAGCTGCGGGGAGTGACGCGGGTGACGTGCGATCGTTCATCGAGAAGTTCGGCGGCGGCGACGCCGACATTGGCCGGCGGTTCAGCGCACACAAACAGGAACAGGACAAAAAAGTCGAACAGAGGAGGGGCATCGGTCAGTCACGCAAGCAAGAGACACGCTGCAGCTGCTCCTGTGTTGAGACAGGCAGGCAGGCAGGCCGGCCTCGCCACTTTGTGCTTGCCTGTTGTCCTGCGTGCTCAGGCCGTGTGTTCGCCGGTGGTGGTTCGACAGCACTGCCCGGCCAGTTCCCAACACGATCGCCCGGCATGGCGTCAATGAGGTTCTGACCAGCGGACGCACGTGTGTGTGTGTGTGTCTGCGAGCGGTCTTCAAGAGACGGCAGCCCCTCTTGTGTGTTGACGCTTAACCCTTTGTCTTGCTGAGAGGGTGCAGGCACGTGTTGCGTGTCTCAGCCAGCCGGCCAGCCAGCCAGCCAGCCAGCCAGTCAGGCGCCTTCTCTGATGACGTGCCATGCGTGTGTGGGTGTGTTGTTCCCATTGTGTTGTTCGTGACCAGTGCAAGACTCACTGTACCCCTGTGTGTGGCGATGATGGTGGGTGCAATCATTCAACAGGGTTTGGGTTTGAACTCTAACCCTTGAACGACAGACGAGGTGCAAGATAGCAAGTGATGATTGTGAAGCCATACGATGTTCCTGAAACGGGTGTGGACGGTCATAGTTGCCTCGGTGTTCCTCGGCTTTGGCTGTTTGTCGTATCGCGCCGACCGCCAGGGCCGACCGGAGGGCCTCCTTCCTACGTCCGCACCTCATCACTCGACGACAGCCGCCTGCTGCTCTCTTGCGCCTTCAGCTGAAGGACAAGGACAAGGCGGCCAGTGGTGGGATACGGGTGGGGACGCTGGCAGAGGAGATCCAGGAGGCCTACCGCGAGGCCGAGGAAGCGAGCGACGAGATGGAGGAGATCACAGGCGGTCCCGATGCCGACCTCACCCTGGGTCTGACCTTCAAGTTCATCATCAATCTGCCGCGCTTCGTCGCTGCCGCCATCAGGTACCTGGCAGGCTGGCGCAGGTCATGCGATGCAGTGGTCTGTCATGCTGCCATACATGATGCGATGCAGGTACAAGAAATGGAGTGCGCGGTATATATGGCTGATGGACAGATCAATCAGTACGCACACACACACGACAGGAGCGCCGACATGGACACTTGTGTGGTGCGTGTGTGGTGCGTGTGTATGCGTGTGTGGTATTGCAGAGCGTGACTCATACTCAGGCTCAAAATGGGACAAGTTCTTGCCCTAGCTACCAGGCAGGCAGCAGGGACCGCTGGCTGCTGTCTGTCTGTCTGTCTGTCTGTCTCTCGGTCGGGGGAGAGAGTGGAGTGATTGACGTGTGTGCGCATTGTAGCTGGCCAACGATTGGCTGGCCGACTGCCTGCACTCAGTCTAGTCTAAGTCGTTGTGGCGGTTGTGCAGTCAGTAGTGTCCAAGAAGAGAGGGGCCATGCCATGGGAATGCCCGTCTGTCCGCAGCGCAGCCAGCGAGAGAGATGGCTGAATATGTATGTACATTACATTAACCAAGTGTAATAAGTGCGCTCTCTAAGACTCTTACGTGTCCGCGTATGGCCTTTTTGATGTGGTGCCTCTACGGATGGATGGATGCGTGACAAGTGCAGTTTTCCCTCTGACTGACAAGGGTGGGGCGGGCGGGGCAGAGACAAGGGAGTGTATGGCATGAGACGGTTTTCTTGCAAGTGATAGCACACCCGTATGTATGTATGCGTGGAGTGGCGTAGCACGAAGACTTGCTTGAAGCAATACCTCTGGCGGCCCGTCAGACGAGCGAAAATCACTCACCTGTGTCGTGTCCATGAGGTGAGGTGATACCGACACAGATAGGGAAACAGTGGATCAATCACGCCCAGCAAACGGCGGTATACAAAACGTTGAACACATGTCTATACGTATGTCTAATTTGTAATCTGTGCGTTTGTTTCATCGTCTCTTGTCTGTCTCGCGTCCGTGAGTTAGTGAGTGGGTGAGTGAGGGAGCCATCACAGCAGCGATTAATGTCTGAGGG